AACAGTTACCATCCTCCTTTGATTCCTGTCCGACTTCGGGGCTGCGCGGCGCCCACAAGAAGAAAACCGAAACAGCTGGGCACGACTGGGTTGCCAGGACGAATTGAGAATGGCACAGGTGTTGAGCTGACTGCCCAGCCAAAAAAGTCACACTTGTTGGTTTCTGCACACGACTGAATGGTTCAACTTGACGGGACATCAATGCCCACCCTTTGACATGGCCCCTTTCTAGCGGGGATACCTTTCTTCTGGGGGCTGCCTTTCACCGGGGGGGGGGATGTCGGAAGGCGAGGAGAGTTCGATTCGCTTTAGGCACACGTTGCCTTCTCGTCCTTCACGCGCTTGGCATACTTGAAGGCCGGCATCAGCCAGCACTCCCCATCCGACTTGAAGGTGAAGATGTTGCAGGTGGGCTGGTCCTGAAGCCCGGGAAGACAACATGTACCCCTTGGAGGGCAGAACTTGCGTCCTGAAAACTCACAGCCAATGGCCCGCTCCAGGCCAAGAGGTGGCCAAGGGCACTAGAAACAGCTGGCGGACCACAACTCTCAGCCGTGCCCGACGCCAAGAGATCCCGACGCCGTTACTCAAAATTCAGCGTCTCAAAGGTGGGAAGCTTTGGTTTCCAATGGGACCACCGGAGGCCAGGCGAATCTCCGACGCCTTGCACCGCTGCTGGCACTGCTCGGCGGTCTCCGTGTTCAAGCTGGGCAGGGGCAGGAAGGGGTCCTTCAGCGCTACACCCTTCTCCAGGCAAGTCTCGGCCTGGGAAGGTCATACTTCGAGCCTCATCTCTCTCACCTCTCTCCCTCTCTCCCTCTCTCTGAGGGGCAAGCCCTTTGATCCTAGCGCAAAGACCAATTTCAAAGACTACGGCGCTTGGGCTCCAGGCTCCAGCTTCCAGGCCTGGATTTCCCGAATATGTGCCGCAAGCGCCAGTGCCCCTCACCCCGCGCCTTGACCTGCACGATGGATTCCACGGAGCTCGGGACCTGACAGTCCTTGTAGCCACTGGTGGCCTTGTCGTCAGACACCTCGCCAGAAGAAAACTGACTGGAGCACCACGTGTTGCTTAGGTTTTCCCAATTGAAATCTGATTGCAGCACCGGGTTTGGCTTGTGCTCAGGTTTCCCGAAGAACACGGGCAGTGTTTGCCTTTTGGAAGGGGACACCACTAGGCCAAGACAACAAAACGTGCCGGACAGCAGGGACACGGTCTTGGCATTCCGGGCTGGCAGCAGCCAACACCCACCGCTCGGGGAAGTGTCCGACTTGTAAGTGAAAACGCTGCAGTGCGGCTGCTCCTGGCGAATTGGATGCGCCAAAATCGGGGTTGGTATGGGGGCATCCCTATCCTAATCCGTAGGGGGGCGCCACCACGAGGGAAATCATGAATGCGCCAACTTCCAACGGTACCCTCACCGCAACCTTCCCGGTATTTTTAGAACATTTGGACACCTGAGGTTGGAAGCAAGTGCGCCCGGAGCCCTCCAAGTTCGAGGATACATACAAAATCGCGGGAAAGATGGGACAAGTGCTGGGGGCCAAATACAAATTCCGCAAAAATATCTAACTCCATCCAAATTGAGCTGCCAAACTCCCCGCTATTTATCCAGACACGTCTATCCAAGTGGACTCCTTTTAGGGACTCCTGGCCCTGGGCCATGAAGCCAAAACCGCCACATCCCTTCCGCGTCCGATTTGTTCGCCATTGGCTGCGGGTCCTGGCACCTCTCCTGGCAGATCTCGGGGCTCTCCACGTAAAGGTGGGGGGAGGGCAGGAAGGAATCCGCGAAGGCCACGCCCTTCTCCAGACAGTTGGACTCCCCCTGAGCGACGAAAAATCCCGCCTGTTAACCCTCATAACTACTACCCCAAAAATACACAGTGAACGAGTTCTTGCCAACCAAAATATCCGGACTGATGGGTTGACGGTTGACGGTTGATTTTCCTTTAAGGGTAAGTTGAGGGTACAGGTGCCGCACACAGGCCTTGTGGGACACCTCGGCGTCAGATAGAAAGTCTAGTAAACTCCAACGTTACACACCCCCTGAGAAAATTCGGCATTGTGGCATTGTGCGCTCTTCAGCACCCCGACATGGACACCCCTCTCTTTGCTGGCTGATTCGTACGGGAAACCGAAGAAAACCGTTTCGCCTGGGCCCTTTTTGTGTGCGTGGCAGCAGGGGAAAAAACAAACGCCTCGTTTTGTGGCATCCCTTGAAATCACCAGACGCTCAAATGGCTCAAATGGGAATTCTGGGGCTCAATGCCGAAAGGAACAAGCGAGCAGAACCGACCCCAAAACTGGGTTTACAGCCAAGGGAAAGTCCAAAAGGCCACAACCCCTCCCAGCCTCCGGAGTCGTGCCGGCCTGGCCAATGCGGCTTCCTTGAATTTCTGCTTTGGTACGAATTGGCCAAATGTGAAAGCCAGCGAGGGCCTCCCCTTCAGAAATACACCCATGAACGGGCATGAATAGACGCTCATGCTTTTGCGGGCGCCCTACTCAGGTTATGAACACCGAAGTCCGCAGAGAGACAGGAGCTCACCAACATAACATTGAAGTTTCTCTAGTGCAGAACCTGCATCATAGGGCCCGCGGGTGTTTTTCCCCAGGTGACGCTGCGCAAAAACCGCAGTGCAACAGAACTTGGACTTGAACAGGCTGCTCCAGGATTGCTCCCAACAAGGGCCTCGCCATGCAAACCAAATGACCAGCACATGGCCACCCTTGGGGCGGGCACTGAAAACGCAGCGGAAAATTCACATGGGCAAAGAATAGGAAAAAGACACACACACACACAAAACACACACACACACGTTTTAGAGGATGTTTTGGGAAAAGGACCCCCCTTTCTGGACTCCTGGTCCTCCTGCAAAGTCGCAGAGGCACACAGCCCATATCGACATAGGACTTCCGCAAGGCGAGCTGCTGCACTTCGAGGGTTAAAGTGTAAATCAAGCCCAGGTATCCCCAACGGCGCGCCGCAATTTTCCTGAAATGCCCCAAACTATGGGCAGAGACCCCATAGCTTTCAGCTGGGAAAGCGCAAGGTGAATCCAGTCCCCGTCCCTGGCCTTCCGGAGGTTTGTCTTAGGATCCGCCTCGCGCGTTGAGAGGTTCTTTGCCGAGAGGTGCTCCGATGGGCCCGGGTTTCGCCAAGCTAACGTCAGTCCTTTTGGGGAAGTCAACACGGGAGTCAACTGCGAAGCCACCAAACACTACACACACAAAACGATCGTGTGACCTGGGTGTGACGTCAGAGGCTTACACCAGGCCTCAGCCAAGACCTGGAAAAGGACATCCTACACCCTCGGCTTCCAGCATGCCACCCTGCGGCCAGGTGTTTGGATTCCTCATCCGAATCGAGCTGGTTCTTAGGATCCATGATGCCAAGGGCGCCAAGCATGCCCCGTCTCCCGTTGCATGCCATGGTCAAGCATGTGTCGCCAAGAAACCTAAAACCAATGCCCTCAGAGAAGGCTGTTACAAAATACCCCAAGTGAGATGAAGTTTCATTGGGGACCCTTTGATTGGACATCCTTTAGGTGGGGATTCCTGCCCTACCACTTTCGAGACTCCCTCCCCCCCCCCCCGCCGTGACGCGCGCCTGCGCCATGGGCACCGAAGGGGGCAGAGTCGGCACGCTGTCCGGGCCCAACGGCTTCAGCAAGTCCGCCGGCAGTGGGATGGGCTGCACGGCCGCCTGCTGGCTGGGTCAGGGCCACCCACCCCCTCACAGCAGACAGGGAAGGTCCCTCGAGTGTCCATGCTCCATGATCGTTGGACACATATGTAAGGAAAATACTTTGTACATATACACATGCTAATATATACATATATATATACATATATGTAGATATGTATGTAAAGGGGACAAGAAGGGAAGCAACCGACCACTTGGATGAGGAAAACTCCTCACTATTCCAAGGGGTCTTTCAGCCTGCGGATTCTCGCACTCCTTCCCAGACACCCCCCCCCCACCCCCGCGTCCACAGAAACAAGTTGTTCCGCACTTCCCGACTAAACTGGCCGAAACGAATCCAAACTCTTGTTTGCCCTCAAATGGGCCCACATATCGCAAGTCCAGGACACTGAGTCAGCTTGCTCCCTTCCCTGTTTTCCCTGGATTTCGCGCTTCTCGCCTCGCAGTCCTGAGGCCCGCTGACGGCCTGGGTGTCGTTCACCGCCTGGGTGTACTTCAGGGCCGGCATCAGCCAGCAGCCGCCCTTCGGCCACGTGTCCGCCTTGAAGGTAAAGATGCTGCAGTGGGGCAACTGCTTGCATTCAGATTGGCACGCCTTCCAATCCTCAGCCATGGACATATGAAAAAGCCGCTCGACACAAAGTAAACTGAGCGGCTGTTGAACCCCCCAATTTTGATGGGCAATCTTGCGGGCTGCCACGGCTACCCAGCAATGTCCGAAACTGGCAAGCACGTTTGGACCACAAGTCCGAGAATCTGCCACCCACGCGTGAGGTGAGGGGAGCATCTTATCCTGGTAGGCGACGCCCTCCTTGATGCACGCGGCTTGGGCACCGGCGACCCCGGCCATGGCCCACAAAAAAGCAGCGGCCGTCATCTCTGGGCGCCTTGGAATCTGGTAAGTTCGATTCGGCTGGCAAACAGCTGCGCGAGGAATCAGCTTTCTGAAAAGCTTGCCCAACACCCCAGCTACAATTGTCGGCACCCAAAATGCATAAATTACTTGGGCCGAGCTTTCCGGGTCCTAAGCCGTCGGTGGCCAAAAGGTCACCATGCGCAGATGCCACTTGGCCAGAGGAGGCTCTTTGCGCTTGCCCTCGCGTAAAACGGAAACCCATATGGGTGTGTCTGCAATCAGCAGTGCCCTAAATTGAATTCTTTCCTTTTGGTTTCGGCTTTTAAGACCAACCAGAAAGGGGCTCCCTAAAAAGAGACACATCCATATGTCCAAGACCCCAAAAAGAGGAGTTCTGGGCACCCGCAGCAAGATTCGGACTTGGCTGGAAGGGCCTGCAGGTTGTATTCCAGGCGTTGGGCCCATGAGAGCTTGGCGTGCTGCGCGTTGATCCAATCCTAGCGAGCCACTTTTGTCCCCGTTGGAGTTAACAGAAGGGGGACAAAGGTTCGCAAAGGGGGAACGAAAGGAAAAAAGACCCACTCCGGAGCCGGGGGAAAGTCTTTGTGTTTTTTTGCCGGCCCAAATGGCCCCAATATGGGCTGCCAAAGTCACCGAGACAAGGTTGGGGAACAGTCGGACAAGGACCCCCACCCAAATTACAGCCAAACGACGGATTGGCCAAGAAAGGTCGCAACGTGTGACTCATCCAGAAAGGACAAGGTATGATAAAGATCGATAAAGATGCTATTTATGTTCATCAACATTTTGTCCTGTTTCAAAAATCCCAACTGTCGAACAAGCAGTGGTTGGAGGGTCCCGGCAGATTGTGTTTGTTGGTTCACCGTGGGATCGTACCACAACTAACCATGGTCAGCCGCCCCAGAAAGGATCCTGGAAGCTCGGAAAGGGAGTGTTCATTGGTCCGGAAAACTGGGAAGGGCCCAAAATCCATTCAATTTTGAGACCCAGTAGTTTCCGCACAATCTGCCAATTGAAACCTTGGGTGGTTGATGGGAATTTGCCTTCTGGCCGCTCAGCTTGGGAACACCATCGTTTGAGTTACTTCGGCCCGCGAAAACCGATCAGCCCCTGCCATCTCAGCCCATCCCAGCCGGAAACACGCTACAACAGATGGGTGGGTCTTTTGTATGTTTTTGGTAGGGAACCCCCACCCCCTTCCCCCCCCCAAAAAAAAAAGGATTGACAGAACAGAAGAGGTGGGTTTCCTGTTGGTGTTCCTTTCAACCCCACTCACAAAGAGTACCCTCACACATATGAAGGCTCGACATTTCTGAACATTCAAAACGCCGACAGATTTCAACCAAACATGACATGACGCATTCATGTTTGCAGTGCAAACAGGTGCCTTGCGCCGGCAACTGGCGCCGCTAGCCCCAGTTGAACAGTGGTCAAACTATGCAGTTGCTGTACAGAACCTGCGGAAATAGCGGCTCGTCCTGCAAACATAGACGACTGCTGGGTCCATTTAATTAGCATCCTCAAAGTTACAGACTACATGGATGGTGTCTTAAAGGGAAACGACCCAAAAGTAATCTCAACCAGATCTCGAAACCAAACATGCCACCAAATTCAATGGACCCAGCGGATATGCACATGTGTCAAAATAGGGTGTGTACCGAAAAAGTCGTGGGTTTCCTTTCAAAGGTCTCCCTTTCCTTTCAACCAAGGTGAAAGGGCAAAAAAAGAACAAAAAGAAGGAAAAAAGGAAGACGGAAAAAACCAAAAAACGAATTCAGACGCGCCCACACCTTGAATCCAAATCCAATCGCCTGCAGCCAGGCACGGCTGTGCTTGGGCACCTCCAGGCGCAAAGGGGACCAGCGGGGCACTAACAGCTGCGCCGCCAGCATGGCCTCGCAGACTTCACTTGGATGGGTGATATTGAGGTGCCTGGATTTATCATTTAGGTGGGGACTTGTCCGCCCACCACTTGTGAGGTGGTTCCCTACCTCTCATTCGTAGCTTCGATTTTGGGGGTTAAGCCTTAAGAGGTACATCTCTCCAAGGGTCCTTGGGCGCCTCTCTTCCCTTTGGCCCTGCAGTTTGCGCGAAATATGCAAATTGATCTACCCAACGCAAGGTGGGCCCTTGTTCAAAAAGAACAGTAGTCTGAGTAAGTTTCCAGGGTGCGCAAACACACAAAACGCGGAAACCCATATAAAAGGCTTCTTCGCCAGTGTGAACCCAACTTCCGCTTTGGGAGGTCGATCGTCAATATTTGCACCTTGACTTGACTCTTTCCTTGCAACATCAAGAACGTTGATGGGCTTTATAGGGCCGGCCTCTGCGGTCCCCAGCTTCAATGGTTGTCGTATGGGGGTATGGAGGTTCTGCACCAGGTACAGGGCAGGTGTATCAAGAAAGCTGATGCTGGTGGCTGAATTTGCGGCATACCAGCTCCAGGCTCCTAAACCAGTATCTGAACATGCCAGGAAGAGGCGGCTGGTGTGAATCTACATCTGGCGGGGTGTCCCACTGGTAAATCATTCGAACTAAGCTGAAGCCAACGTCTGTTTCAATCAAACGGACTCTCCGCCTCACGCTTCATGATGCAAAGGACAAGTGGGAGTACGGCAAATGGGCGCGCGCGCGCCATAAGCTGTGGCAACAGGCGCTCAATTCCCCGCATTTCCTCGTATGAGAACCAGCTGCGCCCCACCCCGAGCCCTGCCTGAAGAATGGGATTCTTCAAGTCATCCGCACCTCATAGCTCACATGCGAGGGTTGTTGCCTTGTCTATCGACGTCGGGTGAGGTCGGGACACTGCGGCGCCAGCAAGTGTGGCCGCTTCACGATGTACCTGCCAAAGGCCATTGATTGGCTCCGCAAATGATGAGCACTGGCCAAATCTGAAGTAGGCCGGGCCAAATCGAGCGAACACCTTATTCAGCGCTGGGGCATTCGAAGAACTGCCTTGGGCTGGATGGATCGCATTCGGGCCCAGGCTGAAATTCTTTCCTCACTGCGCGTGCCAAATGAACTGGTCGGCTGTTGATTCGCGCGCATCAACCAGAAACTTGAACGAACACCACAATTTTGGGGCGCCCGCATTTGGACACAGACCCCTGACCCACATGCTAAAACTCCCGATTGTTTAAATGTTTCAACGACCACATCGACCAGGGCTGGTTGTTTGAACACTTGGGTTTGTCTCAAAGTAGGCTCGCCCTTTGCTTTCCCTTTTCCACCAACCCCACAACAGAATAGCCTCAAAAACGCGGACCCAAACCAACCAACCTCCTTTTAGGGGCCAACCCCCCCCCAAAAAAAAAACATTTAAAAAAACAGACCCACCCAAAAAGCCCCACCAACCCCAGCGGCCCCGAGCCCCCCGCATGTTTCTTCCCCTCCCCCCTCGCCGGATGGACTCCCAGAGCGTCACCGCGAAGGCGGTGGAGCCCTCCGAGGCCTCCTGCCGCGCACGAGCCGCGAGTGTCACGCGTGTCGGGGCGACGCGCAAGCCGTCCTTTGGGAAAACATGTGGATCCAGACCCCCCCAAAAAAAAAAAGCAAACGAAAACTCATCCGATCATTCACACGCGCGTAGTGCCCGCGCACAGCGGAAGCAGTGCGGCGGGCGTTTGTCCGTGGTTCCATTCAGGACTGGTGCCTGAAGGGTCTGGCCAGGTCATTTGCTGACCGGATCGGGCGACCTAAACAAAATGCCCTCAGCTCGCGAGACACCCGAAGTCTGTGCGCCCGGGTGATTTTCAAAGCGAGCCCTGCTTGTGGAGGGGCGACACCTAAAGTTGAAAGGTTCAAGCCCCTTACCTCGTCAAGGTCCAAGCCAAACTGAGCGGCACAAAGCCGAAAGAAAAAGCGAACCATCCTGATGTCAGCGGCCAAGGTGGTTTGGACATTGACGTGTGGGCATGGGTCCCGCCAAACCTCGCCACCCGAGTGTGGAGTCGGGACCGGAAATCGGATGGCGGCAAGCCGCAATGCAACTGTACATTCGAGCCACGAAACATAGGTGGCGTTGGCGGTGGAGTCTGCCTCCTGCAAAAGCCAGCGAATGGCACTTGCCGGAAAGAGGCTACCAAACTTAAATTCCAATTGCGAGCCATGCAAGGTGGTGCTCCAATTCGGATCAAGCGAATCGGTCCAACTCAGCGGGGCCTCACTGTGTTCAAGGGGAGGGTCTGCGTCTTCAGGTAGGTCAGGTTCAGCATCTGCTGAGGTCGCCGAGGCTGCTGATGCTGAAACTGTGGCAATAGCGAGGTGTAGGGCCTGAAGGTGCCGGAGGCGGTAGAGTTGGTCGAGTTCAGCCTTTTCGTAGGCTGCCCAAATGTCTTGAAATGGCTGCCCTCGCTGCTGGTTGGCAGCCTTGGCAGCTGTGTCCGCTGTGTTGTTCCAACGTGCCAGCCAGGCATCGACCGGGTCGGACTGGTCGTCTGGGGAACCATGTGCAGGTGTATGGTGAACCTGAAACTGCTCGGGGTTGAGGTTGGCTATTGTGCTTGCTAGCCGCCTCCATAGGTCAGTGTGGGTGTGGTAGGGAAGGTTGTGGTTGTCGTGTTGAAGTTGCCAGGTGCCGTTGGCCGTGTAAGCTGAGTCTGTCCACAGGTGCGTGAGGCAGCGTTGTTGTTGGGTCCATTGCGCAGCAACGATGACCGCGTAGAGCTCGGCCCGGTTGTTGCATTGCACCTCCCCAGGGAGTGGGCCAGCTGCAATCTGCACGCATTGGGTAGCGGATATGACTGCCCAGGAGGCTAATGCCAGCGGTTGGTATCGCGGAGAAGTGCATGAGCCGTCTGTGAACAAGTGCACGGTCTCGGTGATGTTGCTGGTGGCTGCGTAGGTGTGCTGCCAGTCTGGAAGTTGATGTAGGTAGGTGCGGAGTTGTTGGATGTGAGGGTTTCTAGGGAGCAGGAGATGCTCCCTGAGACAGGCCGGTGAGTCTGCCCATAGTTGGCATGCTTGGGGATGAGCAGCCCGACAGGTGGCGTAGGCCGGGCAGCGTAGGAAGCGATGTTCTGCCGTGTCGAGTTCGGGGCAGTAGCGACATGTTGGGGAGAGAAGGTTGTCGTACTTGGCCTTGTGAATGTTGAGGTAGAATGCTCCTTCCCGGAGCGCGTTGGATTGTGCAAGGTGGATCGGTGTGAGTGAGGCCTCAATGTGTTTGCTGGCGCTCCAGTTGATCCCAGTGAGCCCCTGGTACTCCGTCCGAGCGGAGATGTCGAGAGCCAGTCTTTGTCGCCATGCGTCCTCGAGAAGGGACCGAAGGTGGGCGTTGTCGATGGTGGTGAGGTCGTGGGTGAGCCCATCGTGGTCAACAAGGATGGGCGGAGTATCGACTCGCCAGGAGATCATGTTGAGCTGCCTGATGAGGACGGAGAAGGGTCCGGCGAAGAATTGACCGTTGTAAGATGCTTGGAATTGGGCCCACATTTCGAGAAGGGTTGGTTGTTTGTGAAGTAGTCGTCGAAAGGTGCGGATTATCAGCCAAAGCTGGTAGAATCCCGGGTCGTTGAGAATGTTGGTGGTGAGCAGGCTGAGTCGGGTGGCTGGATTGGCTCCGGCGTTGCCGTGGCCAAGTGCTTTGACCGCTGCTGTGCGGAGCTGTTTGATGAGTTGGTTGGAGAGGTCCTCTATAGGTGCGCTGTGGAAGACTTTGGGCCAGATGGCCTGTACCAGCACATACGCCTTGCAGTGTGCTGGGGCCCGAAGTCGTCGTAAGAGGGACCATGTGGTCTGGAGTTGGTGAACAATGCTGGTGTGGTGGGCGGTTCTGCGGCGAGCGCCGTAGGTCATTTGTCCACCCAAGTCCTTGTCCTTCTGGCTGACCCGGTATCCTATATGGCTCAGTTGCTTCCGGTGGGCCGCCTGGAGACCCCAAAGGTAGGTTTTGTCGGAGTCAATTTGTAGTTGAAACATGTCAAGGAAGGTTTCCTGGGCCACTATGGCTTGCAGGAGAGCTCCGGGGTGGTCTGCGACCAGCTCAAGATTGTCAACGAATGAGATGGAGGTTGCCCGAGGTGCGAAGTGTCGTTGGTAGAAGTGGTAGCACCAGTCGGTGAGAGCCATTGCCACGCAGCTGAGCGGACAGCCTTCCGGGTAGCCACAATTTGAGAAGAGAGGGGCTCCCAGGGTGTCGTGAACTTTGAATCTTCGGGCGAAGCCAGTCAAGAAGCGATGCCAGGCTTCGACAAAGTCCGTGTCGAAGCCCACGTGTTTGGCAATTTGTTTGATAGGGCCTCGTGGGAGGTGGTTGAAGGCCTTCTCGATGTCGGCCACACAGCCAACTAGCGGGCTGGATTGTTGCGCTCGGAGTTCGATGAGGCCCTGAAGAGGCAACCAGACTTCTTGGGCCTCGCGAGAGGGCAAGAACCCAAATGCCGGGCAGTCCATGAGTCTGGCGAGTCTGGATAGCGCTTGACGTGCCCGGATGGAGGACCAGTTGCGGTAGAGCATGCTGAGGACGATGATGGGTCTGAACTGGTTGACCTCCTCGGCGTCGTCGCACTTGGCAAGGCCGTGCGCGAAGCCTGTTAGCATTTGTTGTGGCCATTGTTCACCACGCTCGATGCGCTGGAACAGATTGATGTGTGCTTGCTTGAGTGGTGTTGGCATGTTGACGAGGTCCAAACGGCCATAGCCGTCAGGTCCACGGGCTGAGTGCTTTTTGAATTTGGTAAGTGCTTGGTCCCATTGAGGGAGCTGGAGCGTAGGGAGGTCAATGATGCCCTTGGGAACGTAAGCTTTTGTGAAGCTAGTGATTCTGCGCCAGGCTTCAGGTGGAAGGTGGGCGTGTTTGCTCCAGCGCTGCTGCCAGAAAAGTTCAAGGGTCGTGTGAATTTGGGACTCTGTGGTGATGTGGTTGTGCTGGTGTAGAGTTTGGCCCGTCACAAGTAGCAGGTCAGTGTCGACCTCAAAGGTGTCCGGGGTGAGCTGATGGACTGTAGCTGGAGTGCCGTCCACCCGCCAGGTAGCGAGTGGGCTTGTCGTCTTCAAAGGCTGGTCGACATGGATCTGAGTGCCATCTGAAGAGACGGCAATGATTGTGGCTGATTGTTTCTCGACCAGACGGTCGATGGGCTCCCTGCTGGCTGGTTTGATGGCTTTGAAGATGCGGTGGTGGTGGTGCTGAAGTCGGAGCTGACTGCAATTGGACTTTTGTCGTAGATTCCAGCTCTCGAGGCTGCGGAAGTTGTAGCGGTAGTCGTGGTAGATAAGGGCCATGTGGTCAGGGCTGGGTAGGTGGTGTGTGAGGAGTGGTGGACTTCCTTGGAAACGGTGCTTGCGAGTGGGCCACCAGTGGAGGAAGCCGTGCTGAAAGCCGGTCGCGTGCACAATAGCGTGCCAGAGCTCCGCTCTGTAGAGTTGATGTGTGGGTCCTTGACCTCCAGCTTGGAGGGAGTGCATCATGCTTTGCAATCGGCGGAGTTGGCGGAACCAGCGTAGAACAGAACGGCTGACCAAGTCAGAGTTCAGATGTTCCTCCCCAGGGCGACTGGGTCGCAGAAGAGGGGCCTGCGGTTGTCGTCGTGTGGGCTTGAGGCGTTGGCCACGCCCGAGACAGGCAGGTGGAAGCTTCGCTCGTGATTGGTGGTAGAGGTGGTTGTCCAGGCTTCTCTCGTAGATATGCCCAAGGTGCTTGTAGTGTTGTGTGGGGTCGGAGGTTTGTTGGATGTCTGGCGTGGAGGCATCGAAGGTGGCGTGCCAGGCTGGCACATCAATGTCTGACCAGGGGATCTGCCCTGGTAGTGGCCATGCCCAGTAGCTGGGGTTGTGATCCGGAAGATGTAGGACACATGAACGCTCCATGGTCCGCGAACCAGGTGTCGTAGTGTGCCTCCTTGAAGTAGGCCGCCAGCTCAGGCGAAAGATAGATGCGGTCTGGCCTGGAAATGCCACGGTATGTGTTCTGTGGCGCGAAGCCGGATATCATGTGGTGCAGGGTTTGGATCTCAATCCATCCGGCTTGGAGCCAGCTTTGGATGGATGGCAGAGATTCACTGTGGTTGAAATCTCCTGCCACGAATCGTAGTCCTGCGGTGCCGAGAATGACTTCTTGTGTAATGGCTTGGAGCATGTCCTCAGTGAGCGCACGAGCTCCAGGCCACGTTGGCGAAGTCGGCCAGCCGTATAGGGCGACGCCTGCGATCTGGGAGTAGTCGGCCCAGAATCTGGAGATATGGAGCCGGCCTTGGTGGTGGAAGTTGGCGAGGTTTGGGACGTGGATAGCTTGCGTGGGCAGATCTGCAAACTGTAGTACTCCTGTCCACGTGCCTGCCGACTGTGAGCCGGTGCGTAGGGGCGCAGGCGCCCCATACGATGTGCGAATCCGTCGATGAGCTGCCCTCGTGTGGAATTTGAGTTGCTTGTCGAAGGATTTGATGGTGTCGGTGGTGAGGTGTGTTTCGCTGAGGTTCCAAATGCCTGGTGGAAGGTCGGCAATGTATTGGGCCT